GATCATAAAGTGACAGAAGCAAGTAAAATTGCATAGATGGAAACTATGCACTTCAATCAGGCTCTTGATTCTTAACATTCAACGTCCTCTACCCGACCTAGTCAACAGTTAGGGCAGGGAGAATGCACAGCAGGTGACAACGGGACACGTCCTTAACTCAAGGCGTAAGCAACTGGCCAACTCAACACATGAAATAGCGCTGTTTCAGCTTAAATGGTTTGTTGTCCTGATGGTGCACTTGAAGACTACTCAACTGGTATTTTTAACCGTGGGGAAACGTGCTCTTTAACAGCAGAGGTATGTCACGTAAAGCCCGTCCTTCCTACTTACAGCCGCTGAGTGAACAGCGCACGGAAGAGAAGAAAGGTGTGTCTGGAGCTTTTGGAAGGGAGGGAACTCGGACCTGGGATATTTCACAAGGGCTTTTGTGTTTCATTTTGTTTTACTTCCTTACACCATTTCTTCTTCCTCCCTGGTTGTGGTACGAAACTTTTCTCTCCTCTTCGAAGTCTCGTGTCATAAAAAGTGAACTCCTCGTTAGCCCCTAAATGAAAGTCACTGCAGCTCGGGCTAACGTCCTGAAAGCTAACGGTCCTGAGGACAGCAGAGCCTCACCCCGTGCACGCACCTGGGCTTCTCAGGAAAGCCCACGGTCATTTCGCCTGAGCCAAGAGATTGGCGTTTGTTCCCAAGATTTCCGAGCCTTACGTCTATACCCTGAATGAGTTTGCACAGTGACCCAAGGTAATGGACCAGTTTTGGTTAACAACTCGGCTCCTGTTCGAGTCTTTACAAAAATAAGTAGCGTACATTCTTCTAAGGTCTACCTGAGTCATGCTGGACATGTTCGAGTTTACCCTGAAATCCCATGGGATAGATGCGAGCACGAATGCATCGCACGGTGGACGAGAGGCCACCTCCTGAGATGGCAATTAACTTGGGTTGTGTCCGGTTTAAAAAGGTGTGTTTGTTGGTCTTCTTAAAACAAACATAAACATTGAAAGATTCCATCCTTTCTCAAAAACGCGGGAAGATAAAATGGCTGTTTAGCAGTTTATATGCTAACAATTTTATGCTATGGATGGTTCCCACGCACTGATTCTCACCTCTCCAGGAGAGAGCCATCCCTGGGAGAAAGGGGGCACTTGCCCTCTCCTTTGGTTCAGTGCCATCTATGGAACAAGGAATTCAATGTTCGGAACGCATGTGTTTTGAGGTCTCCTAGTAAATGAGAGGATTGGGAAACGATTTCTACTGGGTTGTCAGATGTTCACTCATTTGAAAAATCTGTAACCACACACAACACGAAGAAGGCCCTCGGTGGACTAAACCAAACTCTTACTTAGAGACATCTATTCCTCACTTTACCATTTTTATTTATTCTCAAGTGAGTCAAGACTCCACAGTGAAATCTAAGCTGACCGGACAGTCTCACTTTAGAAATGTGACTGTCCCTCGGCCATACTCCAGGAGAAGGATCTGCTCTTGGTGTGCTGGATCTTGCTGGGCTTACTCACTGACACACTCCCAATGAACCATTTTCACTGATCATCAGAACTCAGCTCTCAAGGGGGCGGGGAGGGAGGGCTGTGCGCAGATGGGGAGGAGGCGACGCCAACACAAAAGCCTCTCCTGGCTACAATCTGTCTTCTTTGAATCTGAGGACAGAGGAAATTAATGTCTTTGGTCTCTCTGATTCAGATCCCTTGAGGTGAGTTAACCACATCCGAGATTCTGGGATGGCTAGCAGCCCTGGTGTGACCCAGCCCTCCCGCTGCCGCCCTATTGAACTAGGGCCTCAGTACACCGGAAGGGCAGGGCTATGGCTCTCAGCGCGTCAGAAGTCTTCCCCTGCCGGAGAAAACCAGTGTTCAAGACATGAGCCGTGAACGCTCAAGACCTAGGAAGGGGACGAAAAGGTACAAAGCCTGATCACATAAACATAAGGAAGGAAATCCAAACAGAGCCACTCCATAGTAGGCAGTTTTGTTAAGTGCACCTTCAGGTCTACAAAAACATTTCAGCACGTTCCTGTGCAAAGGGGTGAGAGCTCTGCCAGCCGGCGCGTGCCTGTGCTCCGGTCTTCCTCACTTGGTTTCAAAGAGCTACAGATGGATAAGCAGCATTCATTTTCCCCAAACCACCCAGACTCGTAACAACAGCTCCTCCCCGACCCAGGCCAGCAGGCTCGCAGCATGCAGCGCTCCCGCCCATCACACATGCAGAAGGGCCAGCCGGGGGCAGGGCGGCGCTGTGAGAGCGGGCCCCGGGGGCCAGAGCCGGTCTTCTCAGTCCTGGTGCCCTGTTCTCATCCTCTGACCCGCCCATCCCACAGTACTGAGCGGATTATTGCTGTTGACTGAGTGCAGCCTTTCAAGTTCTGTGTGTCCTCGACCTCAAAGTCTAAATGAAAGATCAAGATACTCTTCGCAGCTGTGGGGGAGGTTGACACTTTTTCCCCGTTTTATAAGCAGGTGGGACAGGAACAGCCAGGATGAGTCGAGGTCGAAACCAGAAGTAAACACTGCAGGGAGGCCAGAAGCTGTGCTGTCCTTCGCCCCATCTTCCACGGCATGTGTCCTGTCCTTCTTCCAGATTCAGAGAAGCCGCACAGGAAAAGAACACGTTCACGTTCTTTCTTCCCACTGAGTCAGTCAGCCTGGGTGTGACTCCAGCTTGGTGCTTTATTGCCTCACTGCTAGTTCTAAGGTAGGATAGGGGAGGGAGGGAAGTCACGGGGAAGATTTCCAGAAGCAGCAGGGCAGGGATGAAAGGCGCTGGGCAGCAGGCAGCCGCGTGCTAAATGCAGAATGAGGATCCCCACTTTGGGTCCTTCAAAAGGCTGTGAGTGCCTCCCTGGAGGTGGGCGGCTGCTGGCCTCCAGAGGCCAGTGTGATGTGGCTTTCTCTCAGCTAGGCACAGGGTCCCCACCGTTCTCTGGCCTGGGTGCCAGGGGCAACAGAAGTTAGATGTTCAACCCGCGAAGTGGCTACCAGGTGGACCATCCCAGGAGCATCGTAGGAAATACTCGAAGGAGGGGCCAGGAGACAAGGTCTAGGGAAGGTTGCTCTGAATGGAGCGTTCTCGCATCCACGATGATGCCTGCAAAGATCGGGTGGCCAAAGTGCTGTGGCAGACAGAGGAGGAGCACAGAGATGTGCAGGGACCGCCAGGCTGGCCCCGAGGAAACCTGGCTTGTCCAGAGCAATGCTCGAGTGGAAACAAACTCCCCAAGAGTTTATATTGGCTTCTGGTGGAGAAGAAGGGAAAACCAGTTCACAGTTCTCATCCAGTTCGAAGATGGGTCTCAGGCCCCAGTGTCCATCCCACGTCAGTCACGCTGCCGAAGGGACTGAGTCCAGTGAATGAGAGAGGCAGGCCCCTCTCGGATATCTCCCGTCCCAGGTGCCGGACGGTGCAGGGTCCCCATGGTGTGCAGGGAGACAGCGAGGGTGGAAAAAGGAAAAGCCAAAGATCTGTGCCCCAACCCTTCCTCCCTTTTGTTACATAACTTCTCAGCTTTGTTAATGGAGGCACTTTCTGCAGTTCGCTGTGGGTACAGGATAAAGGCACTAAAGCAACTATTAAATCAATTGGTTGAGTTTCTTCAGGGAGCCTCAAGGTGGGGGCAAGGGGGGTGAAGTCTTAGGACTTCAGATCAGGACTGCAAAAAGAAATCAGCTCTGCTTTGGATGCATACGATGGATAAACATTTTCATTTACATCTTAAGAATGCACCAGATCACATGCAGTATGCACCTTTGTTTGTTTGTTTGTTTGTTTTGCTTGTGTTTATCTTCAGCTAGAAAAGAATGCTTAGTTCTTAGGTGTTGCTATATATCTTAGTCTTCCACAGAGCTTCCCTTTAAGGGATGGGCGTATTGGTCCTCTCTCTGCCTACATCTGCACAGACACCTGACACTTCCCTGAGCAAAGGCAGGAAAATTGACTGAGTGCCCCCCACCCCCACCCCCCATTATTTCTTTTGGGCCCTTTGTCCCGCAAACTTGTAATTTTTATTATTTTTTAATGTTTTAATTAAATTAATCATGCACTAATTAATTCAAGGTACATCTTAATCAAAGAGGCCATAATGCTGGATAAGAGAACATGCTTTGAGCTCCAAAAAGTTACTGTTCCCATTGGACTAACATATGGACTTAAATACAGTACTTTATTTACTAATAAAATAGTTAATAAATGAAGGAGTGCACTTTTGGTGAATGCAAATGAAGAAGGATCTATTTTTAGAAGAGTCAGTTCCAAAGTAAGCTTATCCCCTATTGTCTGAGTTCACGCTCTTGGCATGCGATTATAAAATAAATATGGTCAGATTCAAACATGCGTACACTTAGTTCCACCTGTGCTCTCTTGCAATAAGGAGGCTAAGGTTTTGCATCCAGCTCTGAGGCCAGGGGTCAGGGTGCAGGACTGGTGAGAAAAGACCCACTGGATGCATCTGCAGTCGAGAATCTTAGCAGCACTGCAGATGAACCAGTGACTTTCATTCAGTTATCTTTTTTCTTGGAGAAGAGTTTGAATCAGAAGGGAATGGGGCAGAGGGAAAATCTCTACAGACCAGGACCAGTATCAGATTTATAAGGTGCTTTGTGAACCAGTCTCGAGTAATTTTTTTTTCACCTTGGAATACGCAGTTCCATTGATCAGAATAAAAACATCTGTCCGTTGCCTGTTTCAGCGGGCATATATCATGTTACACAGAACACCCCTGACGCACGGCCTTCAGTGTGCTGTGCAGTCTGCAAAGGTTTCATCTTGGAGTCCCATGCAAATTTTAATTGTATTCCTAAGTGATCATCTGATTCTTAGTTAAAAGGGAAAAACAATTTGAAAAAGCCAACAGGGATTAAAAATGGGGAAGCGTATGAATCTTATTTTACCTAGACTAGTTCATGGACTGAGTTATTTTAAACCAGTTTTAGAAAATACACTTTCTTTTCCCTTTTTTTTTAATAAAATGAAAATAGTTTCTTTTCTTCATGGCTCCTGAAAGCTCGCCACCCCCAAACAGCAATGCCACAACGCATTGACAGTTAAATAGAGTGTTCAAAGACTATTTAGTGAAGTATCTACAAAGAGTGACCTGGGTCACTCGGGGTTTGGTTCTGTTTGGTGTCTTAAGTCTTTCAAGCTGCTAAGTGGGGGGGCTTTTTAGCATGTTGGCTTGGCTGTTTTAAACATCAGTCAGTAGCTTGCTCTTATTAACGCAGTTTTGGTTAGCTAGGGTGCAGTTGCCAGTTCGGATGCTGGCCTGTCTAAAATGGGCTATGCTATTGTTCATGTCCTCTTCAATCTCCATGTACTCAGACTTGCTGATAGTGGAGGAGCTGCGCCGACTGAGGTCACTGTCAGAGGCTAAATTAGGCGCACTGACGTGGAGCAGCTGAGCTTGCTCTTCCCCCTCGGTCTCCCGGTGGTAGAAATAGTTGAAATTGGACACAATGACAGGTACGGGCAGGGCAATTGTCAGCACACCAGCGATGGCACACAAGGAGCCCACGATCTTGCCTCCAATTGTCACAGGGTACATGTCACCGTATCCCACGGTGGTCATGGACACCACCGCCCACCAGAAAGCGTCGGGGATACTGGAAAAGTGCGACTCAGCTTCTTCCGCCTCGGCAAAGTAAACTGCACTAGAGAACAGTATGACCCCGATGAAGAGGAAAAAGATAAGCAGCCCTAGCTCCCTCATGCTAGCTTTGAGGGTCTGACCCAGGATCTGGAGGCCCTTTGAGTGGCGGGAGAGTTTGAAGATTCTAAAAACCCTTACCAGCCGGATAACCCTGAGGATGGCCAGCGAGGTGGCCTGCTCGCCCTTCTGGTTGCCCTCCTGCTGGGCTATCTCAGTGCCCAGGGTGATGAAATAGGGGATGATGGCCACGATGTCGATGAAGTTCATGATGTTCTTGAAGAAGTCTGTCTTGCTGGGGCAGGCGAAGAAGCGCACCAGCAGCTCGAAGGAGAACCAGATGATGCAGAGGGTCTCCACGATGAAGAAGGGGTCCGTGAAGATGTTGGCATTGTAGACAAGCGTGGTGTTGTCGATGCGGTGGACGGTGCCCATGAAGTCCTTGTCATCCTTCAGCTCGGGCAGCGTCTCCAGGCAGAAGATGACGATGGAGATGAGGATGACCATGACGGAGACGATGGCGATGACCCGGGCCGGCCCCGAGCTCTCGGGGTACTCGAAGAGCAGCCACACCTGGCGCTGGTATTCCTTCTCGGGCAGGGGGCGCTCCTCCTCCTTGATGAAGCCCTCGTCCTCGCGGAACTTCTCCATGGCCTCCTCGCCCAGCTCGTAGAACTTGATCTCCTCGGAGAACATGTCCAGCGGCACGTTGACCGGCCTCCGCAGCCGGCCCCCCGACTGGTAGTAGTAGAGGATGGCGTCGAAGCTGGGCCGGTTGCGGTCGAAGAAGTACTCGTTCCTCAGCGGGTCGAAGTAGCGCATGCGTTTCTTAGGGTTGCCCAGCAGGGTGTTGGGGAACTGCGCCAGCGTCTTGAGCTGCGTCTCGAAGCGCAGCCCCGAGATGTTGATGACCACGCGTTCGCAGCACTCGTGGTCGTCGTGCT